AGTCTGCCTACAGTCCAGTCTGTCCACAGTCCAGTCTGTCCACAGTCCAGTCTGCCTACAGTCCAGTCTGCCTACAGTCCAGTCTGTCCACAGTCCAGTCCGCCTAGAGTCCAGTCTGTCTGCAGTCCAGTCTGCCTACAGTCCAGTCTGTCCACAGTCCAGTCTGTCCACAGTCCAGTCCGCCTACAGTCCAGTCTGTCCACAGTCCAGTCTGCCTACAGTCCAGTCTGTCCACAGTCCAGTCTGTCCACAGTCCAGTCTGCCTACAGTCCAGTCTGCCTACAGTCCAGTCTGTCCACAGTCCAGTCTGCCTACAGTCCAGTCTGTCCACAGTCCAGTCTGTCCACAGTTTGGGACATCAATCAGACACATTTGTCACCTTTCAGCAGCACTTTGTTTTTTACATATAGTTGTAAAACAATCTTCTAGATGTTGTTTTTGTCCTCAGATGTTTTCCAGTTTCTTCCTGTCTCTACTTGTTGAGATCAAATGTTGACGTTTTGAAGACGTGTCGGAGAGAACAGTCAGGTGTTTTATTTCCCWCCTGCTGGGGCAGATCAAGGAGGCCTGCTAACATCTGTCTGACTCCTGACAGCTTTTATCCACTCACACACTTCAAACCTTTTGAAAGGTTTCTTACAAATATGCTGACATCAACAAAAACAACATTTATCAATAAAAACAACTTCTTTTGAAAGAAATAAGTGCAGTGATTTGAATGAACTCGAAGGTAGAAGAACTGTTTCACTGAAGCTGGCCCCTCTTCTATAACGTGGCCCCTGACTTCAGAAAACAACAGGTTTATACTACAGATGTATAGAATATTATAGAATCACTCAGTTTACAACCATGTTGAAATAATAAAGAGTTTCTGGTCAGATTAGCTTCAGTTTTATGGGATGGGAACAACAAAGTGTAATTTGAAACCAAAGCATCCTGATGAAAGAGCAGAAACTAGAGGTCAAATGACTCCAGTCAGACTGAACTGAAGGACAACGAGTCGGACTCACCTGATCCTTCTCTGGTTTGTCAGAGACGTCATTCAGACTGCTGGACGTCAGGTTCCTGTGAGCCGTGCTGGGACTGTCTGTGGGCACACAAACAAAACAGTTTATCTTCACCAGGAGACAAGAAAACATGGAGGAAAAGACCCCGGAMAGAGCAGAGTGTTTGCTCCACATGCAGCACCAGAAACCCACCCAGCTCCTTCACAAACACAAACTGGCCTTTTAATCCTGTTCTTTTTAAGAATAAAGTCTCTGACTTTAAACTGGTTGATTTGTCACATTTAACACAAACTGTTTGCCTCTGTACGCTCAAAGAAACTGACGTCAGATTTGGTGTTAGATTCAAACTAAAGGAATCCAATCAAAGCTCAGAGAAATGAAAAATATTTTACTGCAGAACTTTACAGGTGAGACGTTTTCATCATCTTTGTCTCCTGTCGTTCACAGCCTGTCTCTACCTGGAGCAGGTAAGATACTGATGTTTAGTTTCAGCTCATTAGTAGGACAACCTCACATCAGACCTGAAGTCTGGAGCCACTGCAGGCCCTCAGGATTGTGGGTAATACCATACATGTCAGTATGGTGCAGCCATTAGCAATAATAATAACAATAATAATAATAATAATAATAATAATAATAATAATAATAATAAACTTAAAAATGATTGATGGATAATGTTACTACCAAAGATGTAGTTTGTTTGTTCTTTTTAATTGAGGTTATGTGAAGAGGTTTTGATCAGTCAGCGTCTTACCTGCACCAGACAGCATTTAGAGTGATGTCAGTTTGGACAAAATCTCCATAACAGCTGATGAGAGCAGGAAGCAACAAGAAGAAAGTTTCAGAAAACCAACTGGAACTTTCACTTTGAACAAATCTTTAGATTTTGAAGAACTTTTAAACTTTTCATGTTTTTAATGAGTTCTTTAACTTTTTTCTTTCCTAACAGGATTTGTGTTGCTGTGTGTAACACATCCTGTGTCCCACTGGTCTAAGCTCCAAACAACAGCCAATAACAAGACTGTTTGTATGAGTTGTTTGAGATAATGGGAACTCTYTCCTGATTGGTTCCTGCTCTCACTAGCAGTTAGTTGGACTCCTTCTTAAACAAAGATGATCTTCTGCAGGTGAGATACTATCTTAAAGATGCTCCCCTTTAGTCAGTGTGAACAGGAATGAACTGATCAGTGGTTTACAATGTGAACAGAAACGTGTTCCTCTGAACTTACTGAGCCAGTCCATGCTGGTACTCCTCTGGTTGTGCAAGTCCTCCATAGAGATGTGACCTGACAGACAGGTCACAGAGTTCTCCTGAGGACTGCGAGCTTTTAGGACCAGTAACAGGTTATCAACGCCAACCCAGGCAAGCAAGAAGAGGGAAATGATAGATGGGAAGAAAAGAAATGAAGACAAAATGATAGATGAGGCAACAGAGACAAAAGTAAAGATTTGTTAAGTGAACAAAATCAAGTTGAAAAGCGTAAAGAGTAGAAGAGGAGTGTTAAACGTGTGCAGAAAAACAGTGAGTTCAGAGGAGTGATGGTTGAAACACAAGAAAGATGCATTTAATCCTTAAAGTCTTAAGATCAGTGAATGATTCTCCTTATCTTTACTACCATCCCGATAACAAATGGTTTTTACAGCTGATAGCAGATAATCAATAACATGGGTCTGGTCACACATTAATCAGAGTTTCAACACAGGAGGCACTCAGACCTTTCCAATCAGAGCAAACGGTTTGTTATTGTTACTGAGAACCGACACTTTCCTCATGTTCCATTTGGATAAGCCGTGGTCAAAGACATTTAGTTTCAACTGCAGCTGAACGTCCTTCAATATCAGGATGGAAATGTGGAGAAATGATGCAACTCATCTCTCAGTTTCAATTCTGTCTGTAGGATCATAAAATGATGTTCGGCTTCAGCTGCTCCTGAACGTTAGTGCAATCATCAGGTTTAAAGTGCTGCTAACTGATTCTTTTTTTAGCACTTACTTGTTGAATAATGAATGTTAAAGTGAGTTCTTTTTTAAATGTAAGTCAGTTTGATCTCTGAAGCACATCTAAAAACAACACTAGTGACCACTGTGCTGATGAAATGAGTGAAAGGTTTTCCTACATCTTTGGGTTTGGTTAGGTTGTGTTGGGTTTGGTTAGGTTGTGTTGGGTTTGGTTAGGTTGTGTTGGGTTTGGTT